TGCTGCTGTCCCAGGGGTTGGACACCAACCAGGGAGCCCCCGCAGCAGCACAGCCTAAGGGGGGCAGGTTCCTAGTGGCCAGGCTCAGGGACAAATGCACTCCCTCAATGACACTTCAACAACTGAGTGTGAGCACTGCTGTGAGCTGAGCTCTTTGTCATTTTCTGTTCAAAGTCTCTGAGTTTGTGAGCTGCTGTGGGTGCCACAGAAGGTCTCAATGTCTCTCACTTGACTGACTTCCTATGTGCACACAGGTGCGTGTCCACACCACTCTACTAGTGACTTAAGGACTGGACAGTGTTCCTCTGTGTGCAGGTGAGTGGGGTTTCCAGCATGTCCACATATCCCTTAAAGCCATGATGCTGGGCCAGAGGGGGAGGAGGCCCACACCTGGCCAGGCCCTGCACAGGCTCTCCCTGCCCTCCTTCATTTCTGTCCCTCACGGCCTGGGAGACAGGAATCCCTATCCCTGCTCTTCTGAGGTGGAGCTCAACTGACTGAGGTGAAGCCACACACTCCACAGTCAAGAGGCAGAGGAGCAGGATTCCAGGCTGGCCCTGGGGAGGTTGGAGGCCCTCACCTGTCCATTGCTCTCTGCAGCCAGGTATAAACTCTTGGAAGGATCAACTCCTACTGTTGTTTGACCTTGCAGAACTCCACAGACACAGGGCACTGGACCTTTGGAGGGATGCTCATCAACTACAGTGGGATCAACTGGGACTAGCAGAGATATAGCCAGAGCAAAGAGCTGATTCATTCAGTAAATGCTGATTGAGCATTTGCTCTGCCAGCTAGCGAGAGGACCACCACATAACTGTGCCTGCATTGTTACCCTTGATGTCAGCCCTTGTGTTTAATAGAGAAACCATGCTTACTTGGTGAAGCCAGATGCACCACATAGCCCTTTCCCACATAGACGGCCCAGTGCTCAAAGGCGCCACGAAAAAATTCAATGAGGTCTCCAGGTTTTGGACTTGTTCTGTCCTGCAACAGAAAAATCAGACACAGATAAAGGGGGCCTTTGTATGGGATGTTTTAAAATCTGAACTGCAAGAAGTCACAACCCAGTCCCACAGAATCCCTGTGCTCATCACCTGAGGAATCAGAGAGGAGAGACTGCTCCATACACAGGTGGGAAGCCTCTCCTTTCCATTTACCATGTGCTTGCTTGCCTGGAAAGGTCTCAGGACAAGGAGGACATGGGAAGGGGTGTCTCTGAAGGACCATGGCAGTAGGTCTGCATCACAGGAGTGTGGGGTGGTGATGTGCACCAGCTACAGAGAGCACATTTTATGCACAGAGAATGTTGTATCAGCAATGTCAATATGATTCCCAAGAAGGTCCAAAACGCATCTAAAGGGCCACCAGCCATGAGCCTGGGCTTCAGTGATGCTTATGAGGTACAGAGCGCCCACGGTAGACCCCAACCTGCCAAACACTGCAGAACAGTTGACCCCACTGTCCATCATCCTAAGAAGTACCATCACCGACTTCCACAGATGAGAAGACTGGGTCTCAGGATGGTTAGGTGACTTGCCTAGAGAGCAGAAGAGCCAGAGGGAAACTGAGTCTTAGGGTTTCCAACATTTATACCTGAACAATCCCAGATAGTCCCAGACAAACTGGGGCAGCTGGAGTCTGAGCTCCAGGCCAAAATCGAGAGAGAGAAAGACAGGATGTGTTTGGGAGTCAGAGGGGGAGGGGTTCTCTTTGAAGTTCCCATGAGCGAGTTGTACCTCTGGAGTACACTGAGGCAACCAGCTCTCCTCCCCAAACTCAGTTGAGCCTGGCCTCTGGCCCAGTGCACCCTGCCAGGGAGCTGAGCTGCTGCAGAGAGAAGTGAGGGTGCAGCTGCCTGGAGGAGGTGGGAGATCTC